GTGCGCGATATATATATACACGTGTCCTATCCCTGTCACTAATTTCTAGACCCTGCACTGCCATAAACATCATCAATCTCTGCTATCCATCGCAATCCCGAGTATCAATATGAGTTACTATTATACGGTATGTTTGTACGGGTCGACATCAAGACAGAAATGTTAACAAGGAAGGCCCTGGAAGCTGCGATGGAATTATTGGAGATGGAGAACGGGGGATGGGACGGTAGACAGCAGATCAATGTATTGACGGATAGTCAGTCTGCAGTGAAGGCACTGTTGACGGGAATTGCCACAACAAGCCTAGATGACGTACGCCAATTTAGGGCGCTATCAAGAAAGGCTCTAGTCTCGGTGAAGTGGATACCAGCCTACTCCGGGATACAGGGAAACGAAGATGCAGACAGAGCTGCACGCTCCGGCCTCCGACAACTGCCAAGCAAAGACAGCAAGCCTGGCTCCGTCACAATGGCGTACGTTCGTCGGCTCATGAACCGGAAACGTCAAGCGCTTCTCGACGACTGGTGGGAAGAAGTATGTCCACCTAGGTTTCGAAATCTTGGACTTCTCATACGACGACGAAAGCCTCGCGAGCAGGCACTTTCCCGGCAGCTACTCCGTGAACTGGTCTCAGCCCGTACGGGCCACGGAAATTTTGCGGCATGTTACCGCCGTTTCAACAACTTCGCAGCTTCAATGGAGTGTGCGTTTGGGGAGGAAACATCACCTCTCCATTTCATTCACTGTCGACTGCACGCACGCCAGACGCGTCGACTACGAGGGACAATGTCACATCACGACTTTGTCCACAAGCTTCTCGGGCCTAAGTGCCTCGAGAACTTTACAAATTTTGCACAGGAAACCGGTTGCTTCGGGGGCCCACCTACGGATCCGTCTCCAGATCTCAGCGGAGACGGTGGTAACTAGTCATAGCACAATGCATGGCAGGTAGAAAAACGAGAAGAGTCGTTTTTCTAACCACAAACTGGATTACTGAGCTTGGAACTTTAGTTATAGGAGTTTACGGGAGTTTCTATTTTTCTTTCTTTTAACTAGCTACTGGTTGTGTAGTGGTTCACGCGGTGAAACCGAGGTGGGCATGTGGAAAGCATGATCTCGGCCGTGTACACCGGTCTTTGACTCCTAGGAGATATAGAGCATAGCTTAGGACCCTAAAATAATTCAATTCAATTCAATAACATAGACTACTAAATGCGGTTAGCCTATAATTAGTAAGCTCCGCACAAGGTGTAGATTTAGGAGTTGGGAGTTAGTAGGAGACATAGAAAATTTATTAGAAATCAAGTTTTATTATTGCATTCTGCGGAACTAGCTGTAGTAGGGCCACTAGTTATATTTGTCACCATCCTGTTTCAATTTTGATCGATCGAAACCCACAAAGCCTCGCCTTATCGACCGATAACAGGATTTGTAGGGGGACTATTCTCAACACCTGTCAGTGGTGTCCCCTACGAACCTCCAACTCTTACTGTTGAGTCTGCAGAGCCGAGATTGAGTAACACCTTTTCAACTTTGAGCTGTGTTATCTCCCCATCCGTCAAAGATACGCTTCCGATAACACACAAGACGACCAAGACGACGAGAATGATGCTGGGAACGTGGAAAGATAGTGCGGTACTAAACGCTACAATGGTAGTCAGAGAAGCCCTTCTTACATTACAACATGTGCTACCCACCGGCGGGCGAACAAATAGCCCACAAAAGCAAAGTAAAAGACCCTTCCGCCCTCAAGAAAAGCAGATTTCGACTCGTCTACAATATCGTCCTTTCTAATCTTAACTCCCGAATCTACTAGCCAGGAGGATATCTGAGACACATGAGTTACTCGAAGACTCCACGTCCGTAACGACTTCTGGATTCTAGGCTAGGCTCCTTCACGGCAGTCACTCTCGACCAAGACCTTTCCTGAAATCCTTTCACGACCTTCAATTTGTCCTGCGGCATGAATCAGGGAAGAAGAAAGGAGGAGGCTAGGAAGGTTGAGAGACGCTCTTAAGTATACACAGGTCTGCTGCGCCCGGCTGGCCGGCCTCTTCGTCATAGGAGAGTCCCGCACCCAGTGGTTTTTGAGACTTTTCCCTGCAGCTACACACCCGCAAATGGCCATCGCTTAGTTGGCTGGAGAGAGGAGGTAATGACGGGATAACGGCTTCTCTTAGTGTGTACTCAAACGAAGACCTGTTGGGATATTACTGCTGGAATGAAGTCACGAAGGAGGCATAGGAGGGAACACACTACCCGAGGCATAGATATTCCTGGCCTTTAGGCAGAAAGGACCTACATGTCCTTACATAGTCATAGACTCACTAGGACAATAAATACTCACTCACACAGGATTTGTATCAGACGTAAAATGATATACCAAACCAAACCAACCTCATCGACCGATGAAAGCTTGACCCCAGTCGTAAATGGTAGCTTGCCTCGATAATTACCGGCTATCACCTATTACCAAATTTTCAACAGCAAGTTTATCCGCGTGGATGAAATTAAGTCACAACATATAAAGCTTGGGTCATGTTCTTTTTGCGGGACTGTTGCTCTCACAATGCTGTTCATCCTGAGGAAGGACGGGCGACTGAGGCATGGAAAGAGATGAGGAGAAGATCTCTTGTTAGTATGTTAGAACTTCTATTTTCGAGGTGTTTTTGAATTTAGAAGTCTTGTGGGCGCCAATACCGAAACTTTAGATAGTACTACAAATACTTTAAAAACAAGTAACAGTGAAAAGTGCTTTTGTCCGCCTCCTGGTCGTCATCTCCCCGAATTAAAGCCTGGGTAGCTTACAAGCCTATCTTACCCGAGGAGGGAAGGATTGTGAGGCCAGATCTCGCAGGGTGGCCAAATACAGGATAGTAAACGAATGTTAGGGTAGCCAGAGGTCTTGCTTGTTTCCCCTTTGGTGGATAATTACAGTTGACGGAGGGTGAGAGTCCCTAGCACAAAGGTCTCGAGTAGTATTAGCAAATGCATTCACTACATGTGTGGTCCAATTGTCAAACTGAACTACCTTCGTACATGTTTTGTTTTGTTTTGTTCATTTACGTGCTAGGTATGGTGATTCCTGTTGCACTCCTACTGGAGCTTAAGCACGGGTGGGGCCGGGCTGGATCAGGTTAACTACCATTATGTATATCTACCTCGTCCCACCTAACTGATCGGACCACCCCAGACTTCACCCATGTGTTGAATCGTGTCAAGCCCAACCGTACAGAGAGCCCCCTTTCGGCGCGCCGAAGCGCAAATTCCTCCTTAGCCTCGGCCACCACGCGCCCGAGCCCTTGACACCTTCGACATCTGTAACTTTTCCCTTCGAATCATTCCCAGCTTAGGCTCATCTCAGCATCTCCTCATCTCATCCAGGGGTCGTTTTCTTCACTGGAGGCCTCATCAAGTCGCCCACCAAGGCCTCCTCAGTTTGTGTTCCCTTTTGTTTCCTTCATGTAGGCCTTCGTACTTGGTCGTCGGGGTAGGTCATTTCTTAATTGCCCCATGCTCTGTCATCGTGAAGTAGGTGCCGGCTACGAAATAATTCTCAGGAGGGTAAGACTGAACACCTGTACGCGGTGTCCTCTACGAACCTGGGAGTGAAATATTCTCCCAGAGCCAAGTTCAGCCAAATTTCGCAATATCAAAGAAGTTGGCCCACGAGGCAAAAATACAAATTAATCCTCCACGTCGTTTTATCGCTCCCAACGAGTTTGACTTCTACCTAAGTCTCATCAAGTCTACAAGTACGACCAAGTAAATCGTCACCCCAATGACCACACCTCTCTTCGGCCTTCTCTGGCCTCAGCCGGTCGCCAAATACACTCCCACGCCGATATCTATTCCCGCAGGAGAAAGCAAAGCGTGGTGCACAAATCCGGAAGATAGTTATTTGGGATGGAAGTGAGAGGGATCAGGACAAGTTCACAAAATGGCGCAAAGGGAAGATGTGACCTCGACGCGCGTGAAATTCCGAATCCCAGCAAGGAGTTTCACGAATTGAGCATTGTGTGCGCGCCAAGATTTCGGTTGCGAGAGTGCAGCTGACACTATAAAAACAAGCCGACGATGGAAGGTGTTGTGATCCGCCTCCTGGTGGTGTTCTCTGGTATAGTTTGAGTAGCCTGGGCATCTAATCCACTTGAGAAGGAGACGCCTTAGAGCACATTTCGCGCAGAGAAAAGTTGATGGATGACGGAGGCACGTCTGGATAACTCAGGGCTTTTGAGACGTTCCCCTGAGTGGGTATTCACGGATGAGGGTTGACTTGGGGTGAAGAAAAAGCCGGCATAACTTCGCAGTGGTACTTGCAAATAAAATCTGAGGCATGAGTGCTCCTCTTGTAAATTGAGTCATCCTTTCTGTACTTTTCTTTGATATTGTGTCATAGCTAGATAGCTGCATACGCATTTAAAATCTGATGCAAAAAAAAAATTCAAGGGCGCAAAACAAAAATTATTTATTGTTACAGTTTATCACGTGAGATGCCTCGATCCAACGTTACAAGCGCATCTCAATTTGGTATCGGATATGAAAACTATTCTTTAGGCACAGGCAAGATAATGTTGTGATCAAACTGTAGAAAAAAATATCACTGTTGTTAGAATTGGTAAGGTGCATACGACTGTACTGCTACCTATTAATTCGTTAGCGTTGTTATGCGGCAACCGAGATGAACGGAGGTGTACATGACAATGACTCCATGCGCGTCCAAATAGCCCAAGTTTTGACCATTAGCTGCTTGCATGCAAGCTGTAGTCTTACCACATTAAACTTACATCAACTTCTATTTCAGCATCAACCTTCTTACCCAATGTGCGCATGACCATCTATACATGTGACTGTTTATTTACGCTAATACCATGATCCACGCGCAGGTTGGATCAACTAAAAACTTGGTGAAAGTAGGAGACTCCAGAGTCTGCGTAGCAAATCGGAAAAAAGATAGCCCAAACCAATGTACTAGCGACGCAAGTTGCAGATGATACAATATGGATATCAAGAGTCTACAAACTGCTTCACTCTACATCAATAATCAATTGCTTTCCCGCGGTCTCATACGTCATGATCATGATATTGATTTTGCCCACCCAGACGTGGAAAAAGGTGGGCTAGACACCACGATGGGACGGATAGTCGGAGTAATAAATGATCTCATACTTCGCCGCGATCGAGATGCGGCTCAGCGCGAAGATCTGATAAACGCAAATAATACGCTGCGCTCAGATGCGCAAAGATTCAACTTAGAAGTTGACCGATTAAAAGAGGCCAAAAATGAGCTCGGAAGGAAACTAGCAATCGCAGAAGCTGAAAAGAAAGCATATGAAGACAAGCAAAAGACAAGCGAGACAAGAGAGCGAAGTCTAAAGATAGAGGTGGAAAAGTTAAGAGGTACTGTCAGTCAAATACGAGCGATGTGTGCTGTCGAGTGTCGAAAGAAGGAAAAGATGGTTGAGGGTTTGAAAAAGTCTCTTGGTGATGCTAGTCGAATAAGAGGAGGGAATAAAACTACTAACTCGCGGGAAATAATTGTTACTGCTGGTATTAATGAGGCACAGCCTACTAAATCAACTACATCAGTTGAAGCAGAAGGTTACCAATTACACATGGAAACAAATGAATTCCTTACTGAGCTTGCTGGAGGTCTCTCTGAAGAGAACGAATATCTATTGGATCTGATACGACGCACTCTAGATTCATTGAAGAAACTCAGTGGATGGAACCAACAAACTGAAAACATGATGGTTGTGGCCGAAGTTGAGGAAAAAAATCTGAAAGAAGATCTGGAAGCCGTAATGATACACATCCAAAAACTGCTAACTAATCCTGGCTTTGTACCCCTGGAAGAAGTCGAAATACGCGAGGAAGAAATATTACGCTTACGAGAAGGTTGGGAGTACATGGAAACGAGATGGAAGGAAGCTGTTAGTTTGATGGATATCTGGAAAAAGAGAATGATGCATGGGAGTGAGAGAACAGACATAGAAGAATTGAAGCCAGATTGTTGCCTTGACCCCCGCAGGCCACCTAATAATGACGCCATTCCCTTCCACCTCAGTACAGTTCGTGAAGAGAGCGAGGTTGAAGACGAGGATAAAAGCCATAAAACTATTAGAGCCAATAACAGAAGAAATCAGGTTCAAAATTTAGATAGACATGGTCGAATTGAAACCAACCTATCTTCGGAAAATTTGACACAAGGTGACATAGAAGTAAGCGATGAAGATGATGAAAGATATCAAGAAGAAGATGAAGAAGAAGGTGAAGAAGAAGTTCATGATGACTATGGTGACAATGAAAGAGAAGAAGAGGATGATAATGGTGATTTTGATGTTGACTTTGATGATGAGGTGCAGTTGTTTGAAGAAGATCATGACAATTCTGACGAAGAACAATTCCGATCTTCTGAAGAAGGAAATAAAAATCAAGTTCAAGAAGAGGCTGAGAACGAGAGCCGAGATTATCGACAAGAGCAAAAATCACAGGCTTCTTTTCGAAACTCTCCTCAGGCTCATCCAACAAATGAGATGAAGGGAAACTGTACTTCTACTCAACCTCAAATTATTACTCATGTTGATGGTGGTTTGAACACCTTGAGCGAGAACGATCGAGACTCACTACTACCAAAACTATACTCGCCCCTAAAGAACAACACCAGAGTTTCTGTTCTAAATCTCGCGCAAAAAAAAAGTCCATCACTTCCATCACTTCCAGTCAAAAGTAATAAAGCTAGTATGTGTCAAATAGCTAATCCTGTACCACCGCGCGACAAAAAGTCCACTAGAAACCTTTTATTTAGCAAGCACTCGCTATCTACGCTAAAGCAACCTGCATCTATTTCAAAACCCCGTGTAACTCCTCAGAAGCACATATCAACACCTACCTCCATAGCTAAGCATACCAAGCTTAAAGCTCAAAAGAATCAAGCTTTTACCCCAATTCCTAAATTAAACCCCGACAATAAAATCAGCCTTCCTCGAATACGCGGATTACCGGTTCCACCATCTCCAGTCACCATGGCTAGCATCTCGGCAAAACTGGCCACTAGTAAGCGTGATGCTGATGCAGCTCGAGTTCGTGCAAAGCTTAATGCCACTCGATCGGCGAAGAACCATACTAAAGCCACTAATAAGTATCAATCTTTGCAAGCGAGTAAGTTGCGAGATTATGAATCTCCGGAATCGAATACTGTAATATCAGATCATTCTCCACTCTCCGACTACTCCACTACCACTAAAGATCCCTCTGAGAAAGCCTGGGACCTTTCAGAAAGTAGTTTCTCTTCACAAGATACCATGGGAGACGAGTATCTGGGCGAGGGCTATAGCCGGAAACGGAAAGCTAATGATATGCTTGCAAAAGAGACTGGAAGATCAAATAGACGAAAGAGCACATTGAGCTCCTATGAGCTTGAATCATTGATTCGTGGCGAATAAAATCTTTTTACTCGGTGGCCCGTCGCCATTCATCAAGATATGAAGATCCGAGTGCCTCTAATCTTCCTCTGAACAACAGAACCATTATAAGTTAGGCCAGGATCATTTATAATTGATCCAGACACCGACTTAGTATCATACTCTTGGTATATAAGTCTCTGGGCTTTTTCAAATAAGATTTCACCCCTCAAAGAATATTTTTCCCCATAGGATGTGATCGAATGAGTATGAAGAATTGGTTTAAGCTCATCTTGGGATAAATAATAAAATTCCTCTAATTTGCAAACAAAGTTACATCAGAATTTTCAAATAGTCCATTATCAGAGTGGGTTTGCATCGATCTCATAAAATTTCAAATCAGCTTGATATGAGATATATAGATCAAGTGTCTACGGGATTTCTTGAGTAAATTCAAAGTGATACCTTATGGGGAAAACAATGAGGTTGAGTCAATATCCTGCCACATATAAGGCAGAATCAGCTTCACGAGCTGTGTCCTTGCTAAATCTCATACCATATCGAATTAAGCTTCATTAGACTTACGACGCACCTATTTTTCATCACAGATTTTCGAACCTCAAGCCCCTACTTAACCATTTGGTTAGAGAAACTTCACGGTACAAAATTGAAGTAGATACACTCAGCTCTACTTGTGTCTTTTCCAGCGCAACAATACCGTCGATCGAATGTAGTAAACCTCATTAATGTTGGCGATTTATTACTTTATGCTTATCTAATAATTGCTAGTAGCTGATAAACTACCTAAATCGTGCCCAGAATTGACATAAGAGGGTAAGAAGCTACTAACAAATAACCATAGTTTTGCGATTGCCCTGATTTTTACAAAATCTCTACACCCTCCAGTAAAAAAGAGGAGGTCTTGAAAGGAGCCTGATCAGACTAGGGAAATCTCGAAGCGGTGGGAGCCTGTTGTGCTGGGTTTGAAAAAAATCTTGCCAACCTACTAATAATTGATAGACGATAAACTTGAGCAGAGAAGAAAGTCTGGAACATCTTTAAAAACGAGGCAGCTGAATAGGAATTTAGTGGCATTAACAAAGATACGGCAGTTGGGCGGTCAAAGTTCTCAGTTAATGAATCTAGATCCAATAAGTCAAGAGAACCAACCCGGTGTCAATTTGTGTAAGTGGTTCATACACATAACTATAACATTCGATCCAAAGGGTTTGAATATACAGACTACTGCATTTAAATAAAATCTCCAGGCTGATAACTTTAAAGCCTTCAGATGAATTAGGAGCAAAAACTGTCGCGGTATTAAAATAAATAACAGAACAATCTCATAACTTTCATCTCTTTTATCTCTTTCAAATCCTATAATTAACCCTAGTGGATTCATGAGCCTAGACTATTAATCCTCCTTTTTCGGCCACAGTCTCGTTTAATTACCTATTCCGCTGTTATTCAAGGCTAGTAGTTTTGAGGTTGCGTGTCAGGTTTGATTACATTACCCTAGGTGTCATAGTTTATCAAATACGCTATGTGTGTAATGATGCCAGTATATAAAGCTCGGGCGTTTGTTCTTCGAAAGGTAAGTTTATTAACTGAAGAGCAAGACTACTGCTACGTTCAACGCCCCATTTATATACGTGATCCCAATATTCCTCATGCTAGTAGCTGTCTCCCAACCGGGCTCCCATTATCGAGGTGTGGGCTAGTTACCAACATTATATGCATGGGCAGTGCCAGACCTTGAATACGAGCGTAACTTAGCGCTAACGTTAAGATTATGCCTGTGCTTAATATCACGGGCTAATAGCTATCACAATGTGTTAGAACTAACGTACAATACATCGGGCATAACTCAGGGTTTTTGAGACGTTCCCCTGGGTGGGTATTCACGGATGAGGGTTGACTTGGGGTGAAGAAAAAGCCACCATAACTTTGCAGTGGTACTTGCAAATGAAATCTGAGGCATGAGTGCTCTTCCCTTACGTTGAATCATCCATTCTGTACTTTTCTTTGAAATTGTGTCATAGCTAGATAGCTGCATACGCAATTAAAATCTGATGCAAAAAAAAAAAATACATCGGGCGCAGAGTGCAGGTCACACTATAAACACCGCCATGGTTGGATGGTGCGGTGGTACATACTTTTGGCCGGTATGCCAAGTAGAGTCTGGATAGCTCGGACACATATCCCACTCGAGACAGTAGATCGCTGGTTCATATCCGGCAACACACAACCACTTTTCTCGCGGCGCTGGTATACATGGATGACAAAGTCGTACTTGGATAACCAAAGGTTTTGAAACTTCCCTTTGGTGGATACTTACGGAGGAGGGTCGACTGTTTGTGTAAGCGAACATACCTCATAGTGGTATTTGCGAATGAAATCCAGAGTATGAGTGTCTCTAATGTCAAAAGAGTCATCCAACATGTATACATAGTACCGTTCATGTGATATAGCTAGAGCCAGCAAAGACGAACTCTTCACTTTCCAGTGGTGCTGGTGTAATCGCTCAGTATGCTCTGCATATCTGGGATAGCCAAGAAGAATCGCAACCGAATCGAAGTCGAAAGCAAACACATGCATATCTCCATTTGACGACTTCTCAATCATGCAGTACTCGCCATTATCTTCTGTGTCCTCAACCTCTTTCTAACCACATATCATCTCGCCTCGCCGACCGATAAAGGCCTTTCTCCAACTGCAAAAAGGAGCTGACCTCATTTGTTACCGACCATCGCCCACTATAAATTTACGACGCTGCATTTACCCACAAGGAAATCAAGTCATAATGTACAAAGCTGGGATCTAGGTTTATATGGGACTAATGCCCTAATGCGGTTATACATCTTGAGGAGGGACAGGTAACTGAGGTGTGGAAAGATATAAGGAAGAGACCTCCCGTGGGAATAATAGGTCTGATATTTTCGAGATGTTTTCGACTTTGGAACGTTTGTGGGCGCCAAGACCGAGATTTTGACTAATTAGTCAGGACTTCTATTGTCTATGAGTGTGTGTTTATTGTACTGCTTGAATTATAGACTACCTGGCACATTGGGCTCCTCTCTGACCCAGGCCGCACCTTGTACAGTATTCCTTGCCTCTCATGTTTCTTGAAAGACTATTGATATATAGCCCGTGATGAATAGCCATTCAGCTTAGTATTTACTCGAGTAATTCAGCCATCTTTTTCGTGGAACATCCTACCTAAAAAAAAATGGTGGCAATGGAAATTGCGTGCGCGGAAAAACGTCTCAAAAAACCTGCAGCCCCAGCTAGGCGAGATCTACCGTGGTGCCACGATTTCAAGTTTTCAGTGGATTTATATGGGGTAGATAATCGCTACAGGGATTGCACCCCTGTTAGCGCCAACTTCGACGGGGTACATAATTCTTGTCCTGTATTTCCAGGCCTAAACTGAGGGCACAATTTGATGTCACGTCACCCTCAGTTTTATGCATATCCAACCCGCTCTCTAGTTCTTTCCCATTGCTTTGATGAGCGCCGACCGCAAAAAAATTACACAGCTCTTCTCACCTTGTGCTTGAGTTACAATAAGAATTAGATTTCTCAAATACAAAGTTATTTATTCAGAAGACACATGGCTTTACTCGATAATAACCTTATTTTACCGATGAACCCACCTCAAACCCCACCTTCAACACCTTCAACACCTCGAATCAAACAATTATCCAGAGATCAAAACATTTTAGTAAGTAGAAAAATTAGATATGAACAAATATAAATTAAAAGAAAAATTCAGATCTATGGGCTTCATGAATCTGGCAAAAACCAGACGCAGATTGCCGTGCAACTAGGCATTTCTCGGGGACAAGTTAGTTATTCACTGCGCCGCGGAACTGTCTCCCCCAAAAAGAGAAAAAGAACATCCTCAAGGCTGAAAGCAGATGATGTTGATCATATTATATCTTACGTTGAGTCTTCACCTGGAAACCGCCGCAAATCATTTCTGGAAATCGCCTCTGGCCCCTTTAGACATCTTGGTGTTAGCGAGCGGGTAATACAAAGAGAACTTCAAAAAAAAGGATATCAGCGACATGTGGCTCGTCTAAAGCCTCCAGTATCTCAGAAAACTATGAAGACACACAGAGAATGGGCCGAAGCTCATATCAACTGGACATGTGAAGACTGGACGTCAGTTTTATGGACAGACCTAACTTGGGTAGAGAATGGAAGATATTCTAGAGAATGGGTGACAAGAAGTGTTCGTATATTCCTCAATAAGAAGATGGTAATTTGATGCTCTAACATTATGAGCTAGACTTCCCAAGAATAGAACGCTGATTGTGTTGGAGAAGTATGGAAAAGGGTCGACTGGATATTCTGGGGTTGTTTCGCAGGGCCAGAAAAAGTCTACTGTTTATTTTGGGAAAAGAAGTGGGGATCTATCGACTCCCAAAAATATTGCGAGAAGATAGTTCCTCTTATCGATGGCACGGTCTCGATGAGACCTTGGCTTTCCGTAATGCAGGATAATGCTCCTGCCCACACAGCCGCAATTACAATGGAAGATATGAGCCAGAGGCTCATTCAACCGATTTTCTGGCCTGCAAACTCGCCTGATCTTAACCCAATTTAAGCTGTTTAGAATAAGATGAAGGATTACATACAGCGTTATCATCCGAATCTGGGTTGCGGAAAGTAGCGAACTCAAGATAGTCTTCGCAACATTGTGAAGGAGGCATGGGAGTCTGTGTCTTCCGAAGATCTTGTGAGACTAATTCAGAGTATGCCAGCAAGATGTCAGGATGTGGTAGATGCGTATGGGGGACCAATCAGATATTGAGGCCTGAAAATGTTACAGCCACATGTTCAGATCTAAGGTTAGGATAAGACTGGCTCTATTTTGTAACTTGAAAACCTTTGAACTCTTGTAAATAAGTTATAAAGTCAAGTAGCAAAAATACATAAATGTTATGCAGCCGATCGTTATAAAAATTAGGGTTAGTACGAAGGAAAGACCCACTACAAACTATAGTGTGCAGATAAAAACTGCCATGCAAAATTTTCAAAATTTTGCACAAATACGGGGGCTAACTCCAATATGGAAGGTGACTATGCCTAAGGCGTCTTAGTTAACACGGTAAACCCCCTGCCATAGCCCCATTACAAACTTGGCACCGTGGCTCCGAATAATCAACAATGTAATGTGAGTAGAGCTTGAGACTTTTTTTTTTTTTAAAATCATTTAAGTGTATTCAGCTATGGAGCTATGACACATGACCGGCGCTATGTATACATGTGGGATGACTCTTTTGACGTTAGAGACACTCATACTCTGGATTTCATTCGCAAATACCACTATGAGGTATGTTCGCTTACACAAACAGTCGACCCTCCTCCGTAAGTATCCACCAAAGGGAAGTTTCAAAACCTTTGGTTATCCAAGTACGACTTTGTCATCCATGTATACCAGCGCCGCGAGAAAAGTGGTTGTGTGTTGCCGGATATGAACCAGCGATCTACTGTCTCGAGTGGGATATGTGTCCGAGCTATCCAGACTCTACTTGGCATACCGGCCAAAAGTATGTACCACCGCACCATCCAACCATGGCGGTGTTTATAGTGTCGCCTGCACTCTCGCAGCCGAAGTCTTGGCACGCACAAAGCTCAATTTGTAAAAACTCCTTGCCAAAATCCCACGCCCCTCGAGTTTGTATCCGTCCTTCGCATCATCTTGTGAACTTGTCCTGAATCCTCTCACGTCCATCCCAAAGAACTGTCTCCCAGATTTGTGCGCCACGCTTTGTTTCCTCCGTCGGGTATAAATATCGGCGTGGGCATGTATTTGGTGACCGGCTGAGGCCAAAGAAAGTCGGCGAGAGGTGTGATCATTGGAATGAGGATGTACTAGGTCGTACTTGTAGACTTAATGAGGCTTTGGTAGGAATCGGACTCTTTGGGAGTGAAAAAACGATGTGGCGGAGTTGTTTGAATTATTTTCTCGTGGGCCAACTGCTTTGATATTGCGAAATTTGACTGAACTTGGCTCTGGGAGAATATTTCACTCCCAGGTTCGTAGAGGGCACCACTGACAGGTGTTCAGTCTTGCCCTCCGAGCTTGAGACTAATAATACGTGAATTGATTTCCATAATACGGGATCGCCAATTTACTTAAATATTCCCCCGCACCACGTGAGCCAATCAGCAGCGCATAATGTGCACGGTCGGGTTTCTATCATTTGGGATCCACATGGGTACGCTCCGGAAACTCATCGGATGGCTTTTCCACCATGGTCAAGGGTTGGTGATGAGTAAGGCTCCGACCCTACTATCTAATCTGATCGTGGTTAGTCTTGTTACTATGCTACTATAAGATGTGCTGAGAGTTGAAGTAAATGCAGACAGTAAAAGCGATTGAGAATCTTCATCAAATTTAGTACGGAAATGTTATTCAGTTTCAGCTCTGCAGATTCTATATTAAGAGCAGAAGGTTCATTTGAGACACCGGTAAGAGGTGTTAAATTTTCGCACCACTTAGATTGGTCGGGTAATACATCTGAAAGTCTAGGGTGAAACTTTCACCCAATCTCAGCCAACAACTTTCCTAGGTTCTCACAAAGTCACAAAGAACATCTCAGTATACCATCATCATCCTACCTGTTATCAGTACGAGAATGGTGGTCACATAAGCTTGCAACTAATAGAGAGCCGGCTTTATCGGCTACTCAATCCAATCCTGAGTAAACCGAGTGGAAAATGCAGAATAAAATATTAATTTTGGCTCTGTTTAATGCATTATTTATGACGTTGATGTGTTTGTGCTAGGTATAGTATTCTTCATACTTAAATTCCACTTCTCAAAATAGCAAATCCTTCACATCCTTGACTATATTGCTCTTCAAATTAATCTCAACTATTTCGAGTGTCATTTTTAGGCAATTATCAAGCTCAGTCTAAACAGTTCCGTGTGTATGTGCAGCGATGAGGGATTTTATTTGTAGGCCTGCTGAAGCAAGACATTGAGTTATGGATGGGTATATTCGTTAACAAGAGGACAAAATCAGGTCGTACTTGCACTTGATAAGATCTTTATCGAGATCTGGTCTTGTCAGGAGCGAAAAAATAGGTTACTCGGAGGTCATAAATCATTACTTGATGAACCAAATTCTTGGACAGAGCGAAATTTAACTAATATCCAGCTCTGATATAATAATTCATACTGAGACTCGTAGTGTACATTGGTGGGAAGCATCAGTATTTATCCTCTAGATACCACGAGTTTCGACTTATCTTTACTTTCCACTTCAGCTCTCTCGTAATTCCTATATTTTTAAATAAAAATTTCCTCTCTCAGTCTAAGACCATGTAGGACATAGTTTCTCTCTACCTACAAGCTGAGGATACCTATAGCAGAATTATGACCTCTACTATTCCTCCTAAGCAGCTCTCATCAAACACTAAAACCTTCTCATAGTGCCTCATGCGATCATACACTTAGTGGAGCTCTTTACCCTACATTTTATCCTCTATCCGTCCAGATAGATAACAAGAATTTGCGGGTATTTAGCAGCTGGGGAAAATCGCCAAAACCACTGGGTGCGGCAATTTTCGAATACCGACATTAGGACTAGATCCGAAGACATAGTGACCCTTTTGAAGCGTTCGAAGAGGCAGGCCAACTGGGAGCTACAGACTTGTGAGTACCTCGGGAAATTCACACTCTGCCTTTCTAGCCTGCTTCCAATTCCTTCCCGAAGGTCGTGCTGAAATGTCAGAAAAGTCTTGACAGAGCGTGATTGCTGCATGGTAGCTTAGCCCAACTTCTTTTGTATCGTTCAAGGCGCTGGGGAGTGCCGTTGAGTCATCGACAATTGAAGTCCTCTTTTCTAATTACACAAAAACCGTAGTCTTGGTGCTCACGAACATCTCCGAGTCGAAGATCCCTCGAAAATTCTCAATTTCGGCATGTTTGTTGGTAACATCTTCCCTCTTTCGCCCCATATCCCATCTAATTAGCTTCTCCCAAGTCGCGAAATTTGATTAGGGTAAATGTTTCCGATAAGTCAAGACACGAGTTTTTAATACTTTAAATTAATTTCCTCCTTGCGAGTAAGAGTAGCGTCGTAGATTTGAAGTGTATTCTGGCGGGTAATTATTGAGGCAAGCTCCCGCTAATGATCGAAACAACTCTTTCACCAGTTATTGAGGCAAGGTGGCATGTGATAGAATTAGATCGGATAATTCTTTTGGGAATATTAGGACCGACAATCATGAGAAGTCGTTGATGGTAGATACGCTTGCGTTTGCCATTAACTTCGATCCGAATCCGATTATTCTTGGCTACCCTAGATATGCAAAGTATACCGAGTGATTACACTGGCGCCACAAGAAGGTCAAAAATTCGTATTGTATACTCGTTGAGGCGCTAAAATCTTTTAAAGATACGATGAGTTATCTCATCACCCTTTAAATTTTCTTTAGAGAGATCACCGGACACTCGGCTTCCTGTGAATGAACAGTCAGGAATCTTGAAATAAGGTTTGAGCTTGGATAGCTTACTAAATATGATAAGATGCGTATACTTGACATCTATCGTTACTGTCTCATACAAGATTCTAACCCACCCATGAGAATGCACATTGTCATATCAGATTCCTACACCACTATAGAAGGCTTCTCCGCTCTACAAGCTTATAGCAGGTTTTGGTATCTGAGATGGCACGAAGGGTAGAAGTATGCTGATGGGTAGCGCCCATCCTATCCGAGGGTTCCCCTCGATTCAATGTGATGTTCGGCGTCTCTCGGGGTACGAACGATGAGGGGCATGTGAGACAGTGAGTCTTAATTGGAAGTACACACATCTGGGGCGGAATGGCGCATCGGCAATCTTTTACCCGTTATCTCCTGGGATGAACTCATAAATCCACAATTCGTTAGCCGGGAAAAAGAGAAGTAGGAGCATGGGTTAACGGCAGCGGTCCAGTTATGGACAAATACTCCTTGCAGCCTTCAAACATTCGTACTCTAACGCTACTGTAGCTTCGTAGCCAAACATGCATCATGTCTCGCAAACACATGAGCCCTCAACCCTGCTGCCTAAGACCAAGTAACTAGGCACGGACAATGTGCGATCACTAACATGTTCATCTGTCTTTACAGACTAAAGAGCTGATGGATGATAATAATTCCCTCAAACTGGAAATTGTAAATATTCTCTCACTTTCCAATCAGGCCCGTCGTAAGATACAAAATCGCGTCACTCAAGTCTAACCATCTCGTCAAGATGTGAGGTAAGCTTTTTCAGTCAGTTCAAAGCAAATGGTCGAAAAGACAGGCCATCATGAAACAAGTAAGCTTGTGCTTAACATCGAGTAAAGCATAGTGCCCGCGGTTACGAGACAAATACTAGGCGGGATGAGTCGAAAATTTACTTGTAGCTTGACTCAGTATCAACCATATTCCTCACGGTATTTTTTGATTAGTTACTTGCAGGCGTTCAAGGTCCATCTCAATCTTCGCCACTGATTTTCTTAACGTTTCCTGCCTCAGAATAAATCTCAAGTAATTGTTAAACTAATGGGCGTCTTCTGAAACACCAAGACAAGGCATAGTGGGTTTGCATTTTGGAGAGGAACTTAAAGCAAAGTAATGTTCAAAATATACTTGTCGCCAACCATGACTAAGTTTCCATCCATCCACGTTGCACCCCGTCTGCTTTGCTTCATGATGACTTTGGAGTTGAAACATTTCCGACCGGCCCATCCTGCAATGGCGCGTAGATTCTTCTAGCTCAGACGAAATCAAATCTTCTAGGGGAGTAGTAAATCCTATAAGAGAGACTGCGAATTTTCTCATTTTTTCTCATCTTTCATATCATCAATCGTCTTTGTTTTTAATTTATCTGATAATCGTTCTAATCGCTTTTCGGCCCGGTGCCTTTAATACTAAAATTATACAAGTTATTAAAAATACTTCACACACCTAAACACACTTATTTACAAAAAATTAAATCAATAACAAAATTACAATCAATATGCAGTACTCATCAGCTATTCTCATTGCTGCTTTCGCAGTTACTAGTGTCTTTACCCACGGAGTGGTTGATTCAGTCGTTGGCGCTAACGACGTTACTATGCCGGGTCTCTCAGGTATGTGACTCGCCACGACCCCTATCCCTGTCATCGTTGTTGACATGTCCTTGTCCTTGTCACTGTCACTGTCCCTGCCCAAGTCCCTATCCATATCCATGTCTATGTCTTTGTCCCTGTCGTACACCCACTTTGAGTCGCTTCTGACACGAATACTACAGTTGCCGACGGCACGCCGCGTGATTGCGCCAGTCCTCGCTGCGGATCTGAGGCTGATACTTCTATCATCCGTAAACGTGAGATGGGCACCAACAAGGCCACTGCACTTGGTCGCACTCAGGGCGGTGGTCCCGTCGACGCCAGCAAGATGATGGCCATGTTCATGGGAGGCGGCGGCAATGCTACGGCGACAAAGGAAGCACGGGAAGTTCACGCAGCCAACGTGCTTCGTCGAAGTCTTGGAGAGCGTGCAGCCAACGGAGGAATTAGAACCCCTAAGGGCACCATGGAGACTGGCGTCAAAGCTGCAGCTGGAGTTGGAGCATCCAGTGGGATGCCAACTTGTTCAGACGACGGCAAGGTCAAGATGACCTACCACCAAATCAACCAAGACGGAGCCGGGCCATTAACGGCCATGGTGGACGCCACTTCGGGTGGAACTGACCCAGCGGCATTCAAATCGGCCGAAGTAACACAGAATGTGCCGGGAATCGGTATTGGAGGACTGTCAGCCGCGGCCGTGATGGACTTTCCGGTAGAAGTACAGATGCCAGCGGGAATGACATGCTCTGGAACAGTAGGCGACGCTCAGAACGTATGCATTGTTCGCATGCAAAATGCAGCAGCAGCAGGCCCATTTGGAGGATCGGTAGCAGTGACACAAAGCCCGGCTGCCAAGAAGCGTGCTATTGAGTACAACTTGTCCAAGCGTCACTTTGCCCGAGCTCTGGCCAAGAGAAACGCCGAAGATGACGCAGCAGCAGCAGCAGCCATCGCAGAGCTTGAGAAGATCGGATCTGCAACCAAGGATGAACAAGCCGAAAAAGAAGATGCCGTCGAAGCACCTTTGACCAAGAAGAGTGCCGAGGATGACGCGGCAGCAGCCGCAGCGATCGCAGAGCTCGAAAAAATCGGATCAGCGACAAAGGATGAAGAAGCTTCCAGTGCGGCAGTCGTGACTAAGAGAGACACTGACTTGGATGCTGCCCAGAAAGCAGAATCTGAAGCTTTAGATGCAGAGACTGAAGCGGAAGACAAAGAATAGACTAATAAGATTGGGCGATGCAGTCTTAATTTGGGCTAGCATTTCCAGTGCCCGACCAAGAAATAAGATATTTTAGTATGCTTGAATAATATTAGACATAGATCCGCTACTAGAAATTTAATATAGCTCTAAAATTTTTATTACTTATGATAGATCAGATAAAGAAAAGATATTATCAAAATTATTTGGATAACGCTTAGTAAGTATTGACTCATCAGTCATGATGTTGTCAAGTGTTGAGTAATGAGAGCGCTGGTCAAACATAATCATCCCTGCACCTTAACATAACGGAGTAATGGTTGTTATAATTGTTTTTTTGCATGAGATTTTAATTGCGTATGTAGCTATTTAGCTATGACACAATATCAAAGAAAAGAACATAACAGATGACTCAATTTACAAGAGGAGCACTCATGCCTCAGATTTCATTTGCAAGTACCACTGTGAAGTTATGCCGGCTTTTTCTTCATCCCAAGTCAACCCTCATCCATGAACGCCCACTCAGGGGAACGTCTCAAAACCCCAGAGTTATCCAGACGTGCCTCCGTCATCTATCAACTTTTCTCCGCGCGAAATGTGCTCTAAGGCGTCTCCTTCCCAAGTGGATTAGATGCCCAGGCTACTCAGACAATACAGGAGAACACCACCAGGAGGCGGACCACAACACCTTCCATCGTTGACTTGTTTTTAGTGTCAGCTGCACTCTCGCAAGCGAAGTCTTGGCGCGCACAAAGCTCAATTCGTAAAACTCTTGCCAAAATTCGAAATTTCAAGCCCGTCGAGAATGTATCTCTCTTCTGCATCATCTTGTAAACTTATCCTGACCTCTCTCACGTCCATCCCAAAGAGCTGTCTCTCAGATTTGTGCTCAACGCTTTGCTTCCTCCGTCGGGTATAAATATCGGCGTGGGCGTGTATTTGGTGACCGGCTGAGGCCAGAGAAAGCCGAAGAGAGGTGTGGTCATTGGGATGAGAATGTACTTGGTCGTACTTGTAGGCTTTATGAGACTTTGGTAGGAGTCAAACTTGTTGGGAGCGAAAAACGACGTGGAGGAGTAAATTGAATCATTACTTCGTGGGCCAACTGCTTTGATATTGCGAAATTTGACTGAACTTAGCTCTAGGAGAATATTTCACTCCCAGGTTCATAGAGGACACTGTGTACAGGTGTTCAGTCTTGCCCTCCAGTAACATAGCTTTACCACAGTGCCAACTGGCCTAAAAAGGAAAATGATTATATCTGTGTATCTGATAACTATGTTACTATATATTGTAGACATGTGAGTTAACATGGAGCGTCACACTAGCAAGGCTACAGATCTCTTTCTCTCCTTGTGTTTTCTCTTGGTTATCGTGCCTAGCTTTAGTTCTAAATACAAAGCGATAATTCTTTTATTTTTCAAGGGAGTCTTCTAGTGTCAACCTAAAGTCAGTCGTAATAATTCCCGTTCATTTTTTGTTGATATTTGAAGTTTTTGACTAGGCTCTTGTAGAGTTACTCGAAGCCAATCTCTTGTAATGTTGGATTGCAATCCGTGCAAGTTCTGTTCTATTCTGTTTATTTACGTGCTAGATACATGTCACCTATCGCACTCCTACTGAAGCTGAAGCACGAGTGGGGCCGGGCCGGATCTGGTTGACTACCGTGAAGTACAGATAAACCTCGTCCCACTTCAATGACCGGACCACCTTAGATTTCACCTATGTCTTGAATCATACCAAGCCTAACCGTCCAGAAACCCGCTGTATACACGCCGTAGCGCAATTTACTCCTCAGCCTCGGCCACCACGCGTCCGGGCCCTTGACATCCTCATTGACTCCGAAATATAAATGCCGTCCAAGATCTCATCGTTGCTCTAGCCTTGCACCTTCATATCGTACCGTTGGGTTGTCTTCGTCATTGGGGATTTGTGTAATCCCCTCGGTGCATCTTCCCTCTTCTTCTTCCTTTGTGCACGTCACGTTTCCATCATGACTTTCCTCATTAGGGCGTGTGTAGGTAGGTGACGTGACGAGTATTGAGGTGGGTCGGAGGTGTGGGATCGGCTGAGATATGGATCGTCGCAAGTATAAAAGGAGTTTGAGAGATGTCGGATGTTTGAATACAACTCCCAGACAGACCTAGGCCCATTCGTGAATCGTATGTTGGTGGTGTGGGGTTTTTGTTCAACATTGTTCCGACTGTGAAATCTCTGCCAACTGATTTTTCGACCAAAATATCGAGTGCAACTCCTTTAAGCCGAAAATTCGTCAAATAAAATTTATCCCACCCTTTCCCGTGACTGAATCTTGGCTCTAGGAGAATATTTCACTCCCAGGTTCGTAGAGGACACCGCTGACAGGTGTCCAGCCTTCGTCTACCCGATTAAGGGCTTTGTTGGTTAGGCAGTCAAAAGTGTCGTTGAATATATGTTTCTCTTACCGATTGTTTGAATAGGACGATTGAACCATATTTCATGGCGAGCGGGGTAATGAGGAGAGATAATCTAACCTATTACGAGCTAGCCCAACTGCTCCTGCAGGGCTAATCCCTTCAACAACCCAGTTTGAAGTTTTACCTTTTGGAACCTAGAGGCACTGTAGACTCGCCCTAGGCCATAGACCCACAATCCATAGAACAAGGCTGCAAACACTAAACTTATCCCCGGATTTATCTTTGCTTCCTTGTTATTCTTTGTGTGAGGCTATGCATAGTAAGCCATCACTATTTGATAATTATGTAAAAGCTTAATCCTTCTCTGATGGCCACATTAACTGGGTAACAAATTTTCCACAGCCGTCTATGCACATGGTTAGTATATACTGAAGCTAACGGAAAGATTCGCACGAGTTTTAGTTGCTCCAGCTTATCTGCACAGAGTTTCTTCAAGATAATGCCGTGCTGAAGTTGATGGTCCGTCTAGATTGAATTTAGGTCTGAAGACGAACAATCGTCATACTGTAACGGTGTCGGCTCATAATTATTGCTTGAAATACTTCCCTGAATCCGAAATCTCATCAGCTTTATGGTCCGGGAAGTGAGGTTAGATTGAAAGAACTCAAATTTAACAGCATTTCAATTATTTGCTCTCGAAAAGATCTAATCAGACCAAATATTTCTTGTAGTCAAAAAAAGGCGGAGTACAACTTGAAAATCATGACCGTGCTACTCGCCTCCTCGACTACTAAACTTGACTGGCCCCTTTCTTGATTCTCGGGCACCTTTGGATATGAGCTGTAATAAATCAAGTCGTAAGACCGGTCTAGCGAACCCATGATATGGTATGAGACAACGAAGTAGTCGAGGTTAGGGCATCGCATGTGGCTCAAGGCCACAGCATGTATCACTAGTGTATTGGTTAAGCGAACAGACTAATAATTTCATAGATGTACACACATTAAAAAGACGCAGGCTAGCCGGCAAAGACGAATTATTCACCTTCCAGTGGTGCCGGTGTAATCGCTCAGTATGCTCTGCATATCTGGGATAGCCAAGAAGAATCGCATCCGAATCGAAGTCGAAAGCAAACACATGCATATCTCCATTTGACGACTTCTCAATCATGCAGCACACACCATTATCTTCTGAGTCCTCAACCCCGATCTAACCACATATCATCTCGCCTCGCCGACCGATAAAGGCGTCACCCCAATTGAAAACAGGAGCTTGCGTCAATCATTACCGACCATCACTTACTACAAATTTACGACGCTACGTATACCCGCAAGGAGGAAATTAAGTCATAATATACAAAGTTGGGGTCTTGGTTTATGGGGGACTGCTGCTCTAATGGGGCTTCACATTTTGAGGAAGTACAGGCGGCTGATATGTGGAGTGAGAGGGGAAAGAGGTCTCTGAAGACCATGTTGAGACTGACATTTTCGAGGAGTTTTCAACTTTGGATTTTTTGTGGGCGCCAAGACTAAGATTTCGGCTAATTAGCCAGGAGGACTTCTATTGTCGATGAGTCAACGGCACTCCCCAGCGCCCTGGATGGAACAAAAGAAGCTAGGCTAAGCTACTATACAGCAATCACGCTCTGTCAAGACTTTTCTGACAATTCACCACGACCTTCGGGAAGGAGTTGGAAGGAGGCTAGAAAGGCAGAGTGTGAATTTCCCGAGGTACCCACAAGTCTGCAGCGCCCAGCTGGCCGGCCTCTTTGAACGCTTCGGAAGGATCACTATGTCTTCGGATTTAGTCCTAATGTCGGTATTAGGAGAGCTCCGCACCCAGTGGTGTTTGCGAATTTTCCCGGCTGCCATACACCCGTAAATGGTAATCGTTCCTTTGGCTGGAGATGGGAGGTAACGAAGTACAAAGGGCTTCTTTGATTGTACGATCGAATGAGGGTTTGCGAGGGGGGGTATGGTTTGACGGGAGCTGTATGGGGGGATAAGAGAGGATATACTACTGGTATAGGTCTCCTTGGCCTGTAGGCAGAGAGGACCTGCATGTCCTACATAGTCATAGACTCAGACAGGACAATAAAATGAATTAATAATAATAATAATAAAAGACGCAGGCTTAGTCTTACACTTTCTGTCCATATACTTATAGCATGATATTTTACGAGTCTATTCACTGTCATCTACTAAATAAAACATCGTCCACTCCTCATCACTACGCAGTATGATTTCCGCATAGCTCACAACCATAACAACCCACTATAAGACTGTCAAGGAGAATATTATTGCACGCATTACCTTTTAACGATGGACACGGTAGAAATCGATCCAGATCTGATCTAGTCATCGGTATTCGTCTTCGAAGATCTATGTTTTCGCAGGACTGCCGTTTCAAAAGTGGTAGGCGCACTACCCACACAGCCATGCATGGGGCCATCGTCTGTCTTCCAGCTTGGGATCGCCAAAGCTGATCATTAACGGCATGTAGATCATTTCAACTTGATCGGGATAAACCATGAGAACCCAGTTTCTGTGGGTCAAACCAGACAGATTATGGATACATGCTCCACGGCTCAACATTTTTCGTAACATGCCCCTGAGAATATCCATGGTGAAGTGAGGGGAAAAGCATGAGACTGACTACGGTGGGTATCAATAAAGGTACTAACAGCACAATTGTAACGCAGCAAATTTGTATCACCTTTTTATATCTACTCGTATCAATGAAGATGAAGTTTTATCGGAATTTTACTGCGGTAAGGATTCCACGTACAAATGACTTGCTCCATCGTCGTCCCGTATATAGTGGGGTGGGCGATCGGCCCGCCAAGAAGCTATGTGGGACGGTTGCCAGCCAATAATTCGGAAACATTTTGATGATTTTTCCGTACCAAGCATGTGTCTTCTATGCCACAAATCTGAGACAAAGCTGGTTAAGGGAAGCTCTATCCTCCACCGAGAGGTAAATTCAATATAGCATTGGCATTTCCATCCAAGATACTGCCATATGCATCCGTTCCATCAAATCCTTCGTTTACCGGCACCTAGTTTACATAAGAATGCTGAAATTTCCAACAGCTAGAGCTTTCAAGGTTCACACATCTTTGCACAAAATCTAAGCGCACTGTCAAAAGTAGCTAGTCATTTCTAGGAGACAAAGACGCGGTTCGAAAGGGTCAAGACGACAAATCGGGCTATTGGGAAAAGGGGTGGATCTGGCCAGAAGACACCGCGCTTAAGTTATCCGTGCCCGATCTGTTCGACCGTGCATCGACAGGCGCCATCTTACCCCCATGCAGACCCGAGTACACGCCTGCTCAGACGGCGCCGCCCGTTCCGGGGGGAGGTGATCAGGGGGACCGATTGCCCGAGGTTTCAGCCATGATCCACTCATCGCGCTCCCCGCAGGCTCGTGCCCGCAAGGTGGCCCCTGTTTATTAGTAACCTCCGCCTTAGCTGTCAGTACTAGAAGCACGGCAGATACACACCCCAGCCTGAACTATACGGGATTAGCATGAGGTGTCGTTCAAGATTCTCGCCAACTTTTGAGACTAGATGCGTTGCACCCCGTCAGCGCTGTATCATGTGGGCTTTGGTTCGGAGCTCTTTCCGTCCCATTCATCCTATCATGGCGCATTGATGCTTCTAGCTCAGACGACTCTCATCCTTCTCGGGGATTTAGAAAGACCTATAAGAATGGCCTACAAACTGTGAAATTGTCCTCATCAAATCTGCAATCATCTTTGTTTTTCACTTGTTTTCTAGTCATTCGCCTTACTTCCCGGCCCGGTGCCATTAATACTAAATCAGAGTATCTATCGAATAAACTTTGTACTCATAAGTCTCCTAATTTTTAAGCATTATATATTTCAAGGAATCCTCAACATGCAATACTCATCTACCATACTCATTGCTGCTTTTGGAATCACGAGTGTCTTCACTCATGGAGTTGTCGATTCTGTCGAAGGCGCCAATGGAGTTACCATGCCAGGTCTCTCAGGTATGTGGCTCATCTTTGCCCCTCTCCAACATGCCCTGGAAATTTATCTGACACGCCAATCTCAGTTTCCGACGGCACGCCACGTGACTGCGCCAGTCCTCTATGTGGATCTGAAGCCGATACTTCTATCATCCGGAAACGTGAGATGGGCACCAACAAGGCCACTGCACTTGGTCGTACTCAGGGCGGTGGTCCAGTAAAAGCCTCAAAGATGATGGCCATGTTTATGGCCGGCGGTGGCAACGCTACGGCGACTAAGGCGGCTCGGGAAGTTCACGCAGCCAACGTGCTTCGTCGAAGTCTTGGAGAGCGTGCAGCCAACGGAGGAATTAGAACCCCTAAGGGCACCATGGAGACTGGCGTCAAAGCTGCAGCTGGAGTTGGAGCATCCAGCGGCATGCCAACTTGCTCGGACGACGGCAAGGTCAAGATGACTTATCACCAGGTCAACCAGGATGGGGCTGGACCCCTAACAGCTATGATTGATTCCACATCGGGTGGAACTGACCCAGCAGCATTCAAATCGGCCAAAGTGACGAAAAATGTGCCGGGAATCGGTATTGGAGGACTGTCAGCCGCGGCCGTGATGGACTTTCCGGTAGAAGTACAGATGCCAGCGGGAATGACATGCTCTGGAACAGTAGGCGACGCTCAGAACGTATGCATTGTTCGCATGCAAAATGCAGCAGCAGCAGGCCCATTTGGAGGATCGGTAGCAGTGACACAGAGCCCGGCTGCCAAGAAGCGTGCTATTGAGTACAACTTGTCCAAGCGTCACTTTGCCCGAGCTCTGGCCAAGAGAAACGCCGAAGATGACGCAGCAGCAGCAGCAGCCATCGCAGAGCTTGAGAAGATGGGATCTGCGACCAAGGACGAAGAAGCAGAAAAAGAAGCTACCGCTGCGAAGTCATCGTCGCCCGAGAAGAGTGCTAAAGAGAATGCAGCAGCGGCGGCAATAGCAGAGCTTGAGAAGATGGGATCCGCGACTAAGGACGAAGAAGCCGAAAAGGAAGCTGTCGAAGGTACCAAATCACCATTAACCAAGAAGAGTGTCGAAGATGATGCAGCAGCGGCTATCGCAGAGCTGGAGAAGATGGGATCTGCGACCAAGGACGAAGAAGCAGAAAAAGAAGCTACCGCTGCGAAGTCATCGTCGCCCGAGAAGAGTGCTAAAGAGAATGCAGCAGCGGCGGCAATAGCAGAACTTGAGAAGATGGGATCCGCGACTAAGGATGAAGAAGCCGAAAAGGAAGCTGCCGAAGGTGCCAAATCACCATTAACCAAGAAGAGTGTCGAAGATGATGCAGCAGCGGCTATCGCAGAGCTGGAGAAGATGGGCTCTGCGACCAAGGACGAAGGTGCAGAAGTAGAACCTGCAACTGCCGCATCAGTTATAAGGAAGCGAAACACTGAAGATGATGCCAATGTAGCTGCCGCGATGGCAGAGCTCGATAAAATTGATAAAATGATCAAGGTTGAATCCAAGAATCCAGACGTTAAGCAAGCCACAAAAAAAGTAGCAGACAAAGAAGTGGATAAGACTAGTACGAAACCTGAGGAGGATGCTGACCTTGCAGCCCTAGACGCAGAAATCAAGGCTGAGGATGAAGAATAAGTGGATGTATCGACGAAATTTTAGAGAGAAAATAGCTTCATTAACTTAAGGGAATCTCAAATATTAACTTTGTTGAAGAAATCCTAGTCCATTAGACTTAATAAATTTGCTCTATAAGTTTAACTCCCCATTTTCACATGGGTGTCTCATAAAAAGGAGTGAAATCTTGTGGATATCTAAGTGCTTTTATTGTTAGAGCTGGTAGATGCGTAGCTGTGACTTTACCGAGAAGAGAGAGAGCCATCCTACAGCTCACACAAAAATGAGATAAGCTTGGCCGCTAGGCTAACAATGAGAGATATCGTTGTTAACATTTCTATCTTGATGTCGACCCGTACAAACATACCGTATAATAGTAACTCATATTGATACTCGGGATTGCGATGGATAGCAGAGATTGATGATATTTATGGCAGTGCAGGGTCTAGAAATTAGTGACAGGGATAGGACACGTGTATATATATATCGCGCACTTGACTCCTCTTTAGTAGGATGATGATTCCGACTACATTCACAATGCCCATACCTACTCTGGGCTAATCACCCCTTACTATATCGGTCCTATCTTCTAATTAATGCCCTTTTCGCTCTTTTATCTTAAATGACAGGTCATGATATTCTTCGTCTTGCTGGCCATCATCAAGCTCAGAGTTATGGACAGATTAAATCTTTAATAATCGTTGGTGTTTTGAAAAGACCACTAGACTAAATCTCTCGATCCAGAAGAAAAGTAGGGTTTTTTCAGTGAAAATGAGTCTTGAAGATAGAATGGCTCAGAAGTTGTATTATATTAAATTATTACATTATGTTCTGTCTAGACACATTACAACTATGTTCAGTACACCCAGATTACTAAGCAATTCCCTTTCACGCTAAGATTGAAGACTGACTCTTTAACAATGAGCTTTGGTCTTCAATATACAACCTTGAGGAACCGATTCCTTGCTTTATTCATGATTAGAGAGCGGGAAGATCCATCATCTGAACCTATTTTCTGCCTAACAGCTCAAGAGATGGGGCTGTTTGACCTCGGGGAAGGAGAGATAACCGTCTCAATCGCCGATAGTCTTGCGGTTGCTTAGTTCGGTGGGCGATAACTACTTGCATCATTTAATACATATATAGTTATAAAGCTATGACACAGGAACAGTGTTAAGTGTACATTCTGAATGATTTCTTGGCTTAAGAGACACTCATACTCTAAATTTCATTCATAAATACCACTATGAGGTATGTTTGCTTACACAAACGATCGACCCTCCTCCGGGAGTCTCCACCAAAAGGGAAATTTCAAAACATTTGATTATCTAAGCATGTCTTTGTCATCCATGTTTACCAGAGCCGCGAGAAAAGTGGTATTGTGTGTTTGTTTATTGTACTACTTGAGTCTATGACTATCTAGCACATTGGGCTCCTCTCTGACCCAGGACACACCTTGTACAGTGCTCTTGTCCTCTTTTGTTACTTGAAAGATCATTGATATATTCCCCTTGATGAATAGCCATTCAGTTCAGTGTTTACCCATGGAATTCGACCACCTCGCCACGGAACTTTCTACCCAAAAAAATAAAAATGGTAGCCATGGAAACTACTTGCGCGGGAAAAGTCTGAAAAAAATGCAGCCCCAGCCAGGCGAGGCCTAGACACCGGGACCACATGAGGTGCGCATATTCATCTGTATCTCCCTTCTTTATAACAGTCGAGGCCGACTTTATCCAATCCACCATATCCGTATCGGGTGCTGATTACGCCCCAGAAACTCATGGGATGGCTTCCCCTGCATGATCAAAGGTTGTCAATGAGTAGGGCTTCGACCCTACCATCTAATCTGATCGTGGTTAGCTTCGTGATAATGGTAATCGGGGGATGTGGTGAGATATGTGGATGATACAGACCGCAAAAGCGATTGGGAATCCTCGTCGAAGTGAGGACTTTGTTTCTCAATATCGGCTCTGCAGACTCTACAGTGAGAGCTGGAGGTTCGTAGGGGACACCGCTGACAGGTGGTGAGATTAGTCCCCCTTCAAAATATAGTGGTATTATTTTGCCGGATTTTAACTAGCAATGTTTCTCAAGTGAGATAGGCTTTCCAGCTATCTAGACTCTAATTGAAACAACAGTATGGATGACGTACTACGGCAATATTCACCTATGACCAAGTCTATAGAATCATTTGCACGTTCTCAAACAAATTGATGGCGCGTACATTGGTCTTCAAAATGAAATTACTCCTCTTTACAAATCTATCTTCCATCGCCTGATAAATTGTGTCAATCATAACCATCGTTGTGTCCTTCCCAAAGATCTGCAGTGCTAGAGTTATTTGCCACGATCTTTGTCCTCCTGCGGGTACCTGTATTGTCGGGAACGTGTTTTTAGAGATCAGAGGCCGATTCATCGGTGAGTACAGCCATTGAAAGGTGTATATACCAGATAGTTTGTGTAGACTTGACAATGCCTTGGTCGGAATCGATAGAGTTAAGAATGAAAATTTGATTTGGCTGGGACGCTGGATTCTTTTTTTTTCCATCAGATTTTAATTACGTATGCAGCTTTCTAGCTATGACACAATATCAAAGAAGATTATAGAAAAGACAACTCAATATAAAGGAAGAGCGCTCATGCCTCAGATTTCATTTGCAAGTACCACTGCGAAGTTATGCCGGCTTTTTCTTCAGCCCAAGTCAACCCTCATCCGTGAATACCCACCCAGGGGAACGTCTCAAAAGCCCTGAGTTATCCATCAACTTTTCTCTGCGCGAAGTGTAACCTGAGATGTCTCCTTCCCAAGTGGAGTAGGTGCCCAGGCTACTCAAACTATACCGGAGAACACCACCAGGAGGCGGACCACAACACCTTCTATCGTTGGCTTGTTTTTATAGTGTCAGCTGCACTCTCGCAACCGAAATCTTGGCGCGCACACAATGCTCAATTCGTGAAACTCCTTGCTGGGATTCGGAATTTCACGCGCGTCGAGGTCACATCTTCCCTTTGCGCCATTTTGTGAACTTGTCCTGATCCCTCTCACTTCCATCCCAAATAACTATCTTCCGGATTTGTGCACCACGCTTTGCTTTCTCCTGCGGGAATAGATATCGGCGTGGGAGTGTATTTGGCGACCATCTGAGGCCAGAGAATGTCGACGAGAGGTGTGGTCAGTGGAATGAGGATATACTCGGTCGTACTTGTTAACTTGATGAGGCTTAGGCAGGAGCTGATCTTGTTGGGAGTGAAAGGTTGTCATTGAGGAGCATATTGAATTATTGCCTCATAGGCCAACTTCTTTGTTATTGCAAAAGTTGATTGAATGTAGCTAGGGAGAATATTTCAAACCCAGGTTCGTAGAGGGCACCGCGTACAGGTGTTCAGTCTTGCCCTCCGAGGCTCGAATTGTTGTGGTTATGAGCTATGCGGAAGTCACATTGCGGAGTGATGAGGAGTGAATGATGTTTTAATTAGTGGATGACAATGAGTAGACTCATATAAAACTCTACTGTAGGTATATAAACAGAAAGTGTAAGAATAAGCATGTGCATCTGTGAAACTATGAATATGTTCGCCTAACCAATACACTAGTGATATATGCTGTGGCCTTGAGCCACACGCGATGCCCTAGCCTCGATTATTTCGTTATCTCATATCATAATACTAATCGCAGCCTCGTGGGCAAACTTATTCGGCGTGGCAAGTTGATCTGAATTTGGCTGTAGGAGAAGGTTTTACTCCCAGTTTCGGAGTGAATACGGCTGACACGACTCAGTTTTCGATGGCAATTTTCCAGTCATGATATAGAAGTATTGAACCATTCAGATCAAATTAATTTTGATGTATAGAGGGGCGTATCGACTAAAATTTTCACATTGATTTCACGTACGAACTCATGGCTCGTAGTGTGCTGCATATCGAGCCAAAATTGAGTTACACGCATCCTCAGTTTTTACTCGAGTTATTTTCCACTTCTTTCAAGGACAAGTTTATGATAACCTTACTAAATATTTATTCATACCGAGCAAGGGGATGGGGTATTTCTGCACCAAATTTTACACTTGTAGCCGAAGCGGTCCTCGATTCTCCAAGTACGTATCACCAAAGATGAATGATGACATGAGCCACGAAATGTAAAGAAGGCATTTTGCATCTTGAGAAAGAAACGATATTACGAGTCAGAGGCATCATCTTTTTGAACATCTGAAATTAATTGTTAGATATATTTCTAAGCTCAATGAGATTCTCGACCATCTCCTGCGCGCCTCAATTCCTGGAAAATAGGCTAGACTCCTTGGCGTTGATTGCGCATAACCAAGGCCCTTTTCACATTCTATCACATACTTCATTTTGATATACAGCACGAATGAGGGGAAGATTTGGGAGGAGGCAAGAAAGAAAGATGCTCTTGAATATACGAAAATCCGAATCTATCAACTGGTCAGTCTTTTCAATCGATTTAGAGGGCAGCTTTATTTTCGGGCCTATTCCTTATGATTGTAAAAGGGAATCAGAACACTGAATATAGCCTGGAAAATTATTCGGCTGCAATAAAGCTACGAGAAGTCTTTTCTTGGTAGCTCAGAGATGGGAGATAACGACATGAAAAGTGTTCATTTCATGTGTAATTACGAAGACCTGTGGGGCTACAACTACAGGAAAGAAGTCTTGAAGGAGGCATAGGAAGGAGTACACTACCCGAGCCATAGATACTCCTGACCTGCTTGCAGAAACGACTCATTCACCTAAGTTTACATTCAAAATTCGGTACTCAAAAATCTGTGTAATTCAATGTCGTGCAGGGGGGCTATTCTCAACACCTGTCAGTGGTGTCCCCTACGAACCTCCAACTCTTACTGTTGAGTCTGCAGAGCCGAGATTGAGTAACACCTTTTCAACTTTGAGCTGTGTTATCTCCCCATCCGTCAAAGATACGCTTCCGATAACACACAAGACGACCAAGACGACGAGAATGATGCTGGGAACGTGGAAAGATAGTGCGGTACTAAACGCTACAATGGTAGTCAAAGAAGCCCTTCTTATATTACAACATGTGCTACCCACCGGCGGGCGAACAAATAGCCCACAAAAGCAAAGTAAAAGACCCTTCCGCCCTCAAGAAAAGCAGATTTCGACTCGTCTACAATATCGTCCTTTCTAATCTTAACTCCCGAATCTACTAGCCAGGGGGACATCTGAGACACATGAGTTACTCGACGACTCCACGTCCGTAACGACTTCTGGATGCTAGGCTAGGCTCCTTCACGGCAGTCACTCTCGACCAAGACCTTTCCTGAAATCCTTTCACGACCTTCAATTTGTCCTGCGGCATGAATCAGGGAAGGAGAAAGGAGGAGGCTAGGAAGGTTGAGAGACGCTCTTAAGTATACACAGGTCTGCTGCGCCCGGCTGGCCGGCCTCTTCGTCATAGGAGAGTCCCGCACCCAGTGGTTTTTGAGACTTTTCCCTGCAGCTACACACCCGCAAATGGCCATCGCTTAGTTGGCTGGAGAGAGGAGGTAATGACGGGATAACGGCTCCTCTTAGTGTGTACTCAAACGAAGACCTGTTGGGATATTACTGCTGGAATGAAGTCACGAAGGAGGCATAGGAGGGAACACACTACCCGAGGCATAGATATTCCTGGCCTTTAGGCAGAAAGGACCTACATGTCCTTACATAGTCATAGACTCACTAGGACAATAAACACTCATTCAACGTCGTGCATGATCACGGCCATAGAGGATAAAATTAGAGCGTGTTAGACAATTTTTATAATCTGTATCACGTGATAATATATACTAATACTAACTCCGTGGCCCGAGAGGGTTAAACGGGATAATTGGTGCAAAAGCCGTCAAGGGACGGATTATGATCAACTTATTTACCATTTCCCATCACTAAAATATTATTTCTCGAGCTGATCGTGGGCGCGGCGCATCCACTCTCTTTTGTTAGGTTAGGCAAAGCTTCCCGCTTGCTGCGTGGTTGCCTTTCCCATGCCCAGAATACCTATCTCTATTTGTTTCCCAGGTTCCTGAGGATAAGATGAAACAATACAAACTTATTGCGAGATTCCATCATGTTCGCTTGTCTATTGAGAGTCCTCGGTTGACGGGAGAGAGAGGGGTCTAGATAGCCTTCAGTTCCCCTCGACTATACTCAGACGACTGTCACTGATACTGGCGGATCATGGTGACCTCTACGTTCGTCATATCCCAATTTCCATTCCGCCCACACCGCCTCCTCTAGAAATCATCGCTCCGTTACGTATACTGACTCCAATGGGCGGCAAGGATTGTGAGTTACCTGTCGGTCCTTCGCTGCCCTCATAGACTGAGTGGCTGAATGCTTCATAATCATCGGCGTCAACTAGCCATTCCAAATCATCTTCATCCGGCCCTAAACTTGCCATGAGCCCCTTTCCCGCCCGGGGATACGGTGGGCTCGCTGGCGTGCTCTCTCGACTTCCTTCCCCCTTTAACATGTGGACTTGGGCGGATGAGGGTGGATATGTATGAGCTGTGGGAACATTCGGAACTGGGGATTGTGTTCTACGAGTGATATTCAGGGGAAGAAAGGGCTCAGTTGTGGTGCGGGAATATGGACCAGCTAGTGGAGTAGGCGAGATGTATGAGGGGCTTGGTGATGGGACAAGGGAAGAGGTTGTTTTGAGAGGGGTGGGTTTCGGAAAGATAGGGATATCAGGATGCAAACTTGTCGCCTGTATAAGTAGTGAGACGAGCTGGGATTGTGGGAGCGACTTTAAGTAGGCTCTTTTCTGTTCGTAGTTAGGCAATTTCGGTTGGATTCCCGGTGACATGGAGGAAAATAATTACCTCCTCAATACCTTTCTCTGCCCAGGACACCCCATTTGGTCTCGTTTCGTAGCCCGATATAATGCCTCGCTTGCGCGAACAGCCCGCACAAAACCAGGCCGTACCTTCGTCCTGAACTGCAGTTTCGGAAATGATTGGTTCGTGACATTTTTGGTGCCAAGGAAGATTACAGCCATCACAAAAGACAATCAGATTATTGATAGGCCCGTGGCCACGACCACAGCGCTTGCAAAGCGCCTGTTCCTGAATTTTTCGGGCAGGAGCTCGACGTCGTGGTGCATTCTCGAATGTGGCTGGTGCAAATTGGATTGGCTTAACAATGTGTCGGCCGGACTGTGTGACCTTAGGAGCCCCTACTATTTCAGATTCGTTTATATTTGATTCTCCTGGGTTCGAGACGTATCCTTTCAAATTTCCGTCACTTTCGTCATTTTCAATATTTTCTCTTTTCCGTTTTCCATTGCTCCGAGGTGTTGTATTTAAAACAACTTTGGTATTGGCATAAGTCGCTGAGGTTCCTGTGGGTGCTGTCCTGGGTGCACCTACGCTGACAGACCTAGCCGGATTGATATTTGGTCTCCTAGGCTCAGTAGTTGTGTTAGTGAGATCCATACTTATCGAAGTTTTCATATTCTGCAAGACGCTGCGGCGCATATCTTCGTATCCTGGAAGAGGTTGAGAAGTAGCAGTTATTGCCATCGAAGAATATGAACTATTGTTTCCTGATTGAATCCGCTCGAGAATCATTTGGGTCGCAGCAGAAAATCTGGGCGTGTACTTTGGAGATGAGTCCTTGTCGAAGACATTATTACCATCAGGTGTAGCTAAACTTCGGGTGGAACCCCTAGGCGACATTATCAAGAAGTAACCGAAATACCCTGTCGTTGTTGACGGTTATAATATTTTAATTGATCCACGGAGGATGAGAGTTGGGTCCGAACATTGAGTGCCGTCAATACAAGAGCCGATGGAGTCAAGCCGTAAATAACTTCTAATTCTGAGGAGCCGTAAATTCGCGCGGCTGATAATGCTTTTTACACCTGCAAATTTTTACCTGTATTTGTATCCTAATATTCGACTGGAGCCATAGATTAAAGCTCTAGGATTTGAATACCGTCGTTCAATGGAACAGCTCTGCTAGTTGGTAGTAATGGGCGGTGGCTCGGCCGAGCTGGATTCAATCATGATTCTCAATTATCACGTGATCTAGACACACTCGCTCGCTTAGTATGATCTAAAGATAATTTCAGCCTTGTTGAGAAATTCTACAGCTAACCAAATGAAGGATACAAGGACACGTTATTAGCACTGATGCTCGAGAGGACTATGAACATTTGTACGACGTACCATCTACAAACCTTGGGCTTGAGTACATGCATTAGGAAAATATTCAATGATTTCTTACACATGAACCGGAAGGTTTCTAAATGAATTTTTGATCGGAACTATTCACGCTGATTCTATTCAATCGAAACTCCGCAATGCAGAGATTTTTGAGCAAAAGAATCCAATGATATTAAACCACCAACTAACAAAGTCTAAAGATTTGTGAGAGTGCAAACCACTTCATACCTACAAGCAGCAACCGTTTACTTCCTACAAAATGAGCTGGCTGATAAAAAATATTCGCGATCCTGTGCCTGATTCCTTACTAAAACAAGACTTAATCAGACCAAGGAAACTTTAGATCATAGAAATGAAGTAGTAATACTGAACTTAATAACGGAGATATCTATTTTGGACAACCAGAAAAAGTATTCTAATGAAGAATATAATAGTAGTAGGATCCAGAGCCCAGAGTAGTGTCTTCGTCCAGCTAAGAAGCGAGAATATCGAGCTCAGTTCCTACCTGTGCAGAAGAAAAGTATCTTGAGTAGAAAACCCAAGTCGTCAATGTTGATATCCATCACAAAACGTTAAGCACATGGTATTAGCGCGTCCGCTGTAGGCAGGTAGAAGAGGCGACTTTCTCCGACAAGCTAAAGAGAGTTCATTTGAGGTAATGATTAACGGCCCAAAAATGTGGCTCAAATCACACAGTTAATACTAAGAAAAGGATGGATAAACAGTTTCGACTTGCTGGAGGAGTTGAGGAAGAAATGTCTGATAAAATAAAATGATCTAGAAGGAAAGAGAATAAAACCCACACTGGCTGAGTAGTATAAATTGCACTTCCTGAAGGTAATCCAAGCCAATTGATAGCAATTAACAGGCAGTATCAGGGGGGTTTCATCACATTGGTCTCCTTTGTAAATAATAAAGATATTCACGCACATGAACCCATAGGGTGCCTGATTGGGTTAAATGAATTCAAACTCGAATTTCAAAAATACTAGTAGGATTAAATATTTTAAGTGCCTGGCCTTGGACACCGCGGAGACAAATGAGAAGCAAAACTAATGACTGGGAGGGTATTATCTGAAGGAGCGGTAAGAATTGTAGATCCTTCATATCATAATTCATTTACGGAATACCGGGCTGTAGGTGGACAGTTTAAATTATTAGCTGTCTTTGCCTGCGTTGACACGTCAGATAGCCAAAATAAGGTGAGCTAAGTATTAAGCAGATTTATGGTCTTTTTTGTTCATGTGCGATATTAAATTTGAAATCGAAGGAATTCCTTGGTGGGACTCTTAATGTCTAACAGGCTAACGCTTAATCTGAAGAAGTTGGATGGTAAAATTGTGAGCTATCTTTTTTTTCAAATTGACAACTTAATTATGGGGAAGACAAAGTTTGACAGGCGTCCGGAGGCTTGAAAGATAAAATTTATATTATAAAGTCATTTTAGGAACTAGCAGTGCTAAAGGTTTGGTAAACATACTATAAAGAAAAAAAGTAACTTGACTTCCGCTCATTCCACCGGTTGACAAAAGGGAGCAGCAAAAATCCTTCTGCTCCCGGAATAATACACAAAGTACTTCAATCTAACATGCACAGTAAGAGTCATTCCAGTCTCATGACGCTATCATAGATATTTATTTCTTTACCACAAATTTATTTCAGAGGACCTCGAAAACCTTTACTGATTAGAAAGAGACCTTGTCGGACTATTATCAAATTGTAAAGAGTGGTTATGAATTCGGCCACGGAAATCTATCCCTCCTGAAAAAAATAAATCCGCATTATTCATGGGAATATCTCGGTCAAAGGATTAATAGTGATCGACTATGTCCCACGAAACTATAGATGAAAAAAACAGAAAAGCAAGGATTAAACACCTGTCAGCGGTTTCCTATGCAAACCTGGGAGTGAAATGTTCTCCGGGAGCCATGTTCGGTCTAATTTCGCAATATTAAAGAAATTTGCCCTCGAGCCAATGATTCAAGATACTCCGTCAAGTCAATCTTTCATTCCCAACGAGATCGATTCCTGCTTAAGACTCATTAAGCCCACAAGTACTACCAAATACATCCTCATTTCAATGACCACACCTCTCATCGACTAATCTCCGGCCTCAGCTGGCCATCAAACATACCGTCACAACAATACGAATAACCGTAGTAGAACAAACTAGGAAACCGGAGGGCAAGACTGAACACCTGTACGCGGTGTCCTCTACGAACCTGGGAGTGAAATATTCTCCCTGAGTCAAGTTCAGCCAAATTTCGCAATATCAAAGAAGTTGGCCCACGAGGCAAAATTTAAAATTACTCCATCACGTCATTTTTCTGCTCCCAACGAGTTTGACACCTACCTAAGTCTCATCAAGTCTACAAGTATAACCTCGTACATCCTCATTTCAATGACCACACCACTCTCTGACCTTCTCTGGCCTCAGTTGACCACCAAATACAAGCTCACGTCGATATTTATACCCGACGGAGGAAGCAGATCATGGCACAAAAATCTGGAAGACAGTTCTTTGGGATGGCCGTGAGAGGGATCAGGACAAGTTTACAAGATGATACAAAGGAAGGATATTACCTCGAAGAGCGTGAAATTCCGAATTTTGGGAAGAGTTTTACGAATTGAGATTTGTGCGCGCCAAGACTTCGCTTGCGAGAGTGCAGCTGACACTAAAAACAAGTCAACGATGGAAGGTGTTGTGGTCCGCCTCCTGGTGGTGTTCTCCTGTATTGTCTGAGTAGCCTGGGCACCTACTCCACTTGGGAAGGAGACGCCTTAGAGCACATTTCGCGCAGAGAAAAGTTGATGGATGACGGAGGCACGTCTGGATAACTCAGGGCTTTTGAGACGTTCCCCTGAGTGGGTATTCACGGATGAGGGTTAACTTGGGGTGAAGAAAAAGCCGGCATAACTTCGCATTGGTACTTGCAAATAAAATCTGAGGCATGAGTGCTCCTCTTGTAAACTGAGTCATCTGTTATGTTCTTTTATTTGATTTTGTGTCATAGCTACGTACGCAATTAAAATCTGATGCAAAAAATAAACTAGGAAGCCGTCTTTGCCCACTTTTTAGTGATGTGAACTTCTCCTTCTGAAGCTCTACAAGCTTGAGCTCTTAAAAATTCTGACACTAACAAGTCTTTTTACTTTTTTATATCTTTGCATTTTTCTGATCCGGAAGTTCTTCATCCCGCCATCTAATAATCTTCGGCATCGGTGACTTACGCTCTACTACAATATAATGTATTTCTCGATATTTCAAATTTTCTTGCGAACAATAACTTTCCGTTGTCATACTGACTTTTGTAGCTATGGCAAGCATTGGAATATGAAGAGCCATCTAAGGAAATATTCCAAGTCTAGCTTTTTCTATGGAAGGTTTGTTGTCGAAATATGAATAATAAAAAGTAGAAGACTGATGAGATACAATTTCTGAATAAATAGGATCTAACAGTAAATAGCATCTTGGTATTCAAACGATTTACATCAACTTATGTGTGGTAGTGAAATATCTGTAGATCAATTTTCAGAATAATGTATCGACAACAAACTCTTGGAGCCAATTATTCATCAGAATGAACCTCTCTCATCTACACCCGTGATGTATCCCAAGCGATAATATTTTTTCCTACTTTTTTGCATCAAATTTCAATTGCGTGTGCAGCTATATAGCTTTTCCACAATATCAGAGGAAAAATCTGGGAAAAGGTCACTCCATGTATATAAATAAAGCAGTCCAACCTCGGATTTCATTTGAAGGTACCACTGCTAAGTTATGGCTGCTTTTAACTCACCCCCAGTCAACTTTCATCCTTGAATACTCACCAAAATTAAAATTTCAAAAGCCCTGAGATATCCAAGCATGCCCAAATCATCCATGGGCTTCTTCTCTGCGCAAAATGTGATCTGAGGCGGCTCTTTCCCAATTGAAGTAGGTGCTTAGTCTAATCAAGTCGTACCGGAGACAGCCACCAGGAGGCAGACCACAACACCATCCAAATTAGGCTTATTTTTACAGTGTCAGCTTGACTCTCGCAATCGAAAGTTTGGGGCGCACAATTCTCTTCATTGATTAAATCTGCTTGCCCAAATTCAAAATCTGACACCCGTAAAGATTGTATCCTTCCCTTGTATCATCTTGTGAACTTGTCCTGAAATCTCTCACGTCCATCCCAGAGTCGTCTCCTAAATTTTTTGCAACGATTTTTTTCCTACTACAGGTAATTGTAAAATGATAAGCGAATATTTAATGGCCAGCTGAGGCCAGAGATTAGTCGATGAGAGGTGTGGTCATTGAAATGAGGATGTACGAGGTTATACTTGTAGACTTGATGAGACTTAGGTAGGTGTCAAACTCGTTGGGAGCAGAAAAATGACGTGATGGAGTAATTTTAAATTTTGCCTCGTGGGCCAACTTCTTTGATATTGCGAAATTTGGCTGAACTTGACTCAGGGAGAATATTTCACTCCCAGGTTCGTAGAGGACACCGCGTACAGGTGTTCAG